ACTCAGCTCGTCTGCTGGGCCTGGGATTCCAGCCAGAATTATTCCTGGTTTCGACAGGCAGCATTCAAGCTTCCTCTCCCACAAACGGCCAGGGGGAGCTCCTGTCCCCCCACCCTGCCCCGCCTCCTTCCCAAACTGTCGCCTTCCTTGAGAGATTGTTAAGGGCTAAGACTTCCTCACAGCCCAGCCTCAGGTTGCGGGTGCAGGAAGGATAGAAGGGGGGCAGTTCAAGGTCACCCCTGCACCTCCCTCTGATTCCGGGTTCATGCTGTCTAATCCTGGCCAGCACTAAGGTAACAGTCCTGCCTGCCCCAGAGCCTCCCTTCTTTCCCAACACAGATCCATGGGACTCTCCCTCTCCTGCATGATACAGCCTACATGACATGTCCTGAAGGGAGACGCATTAAAAATGTAGTGTCCTTTCCTACCAGCAGTAAAAACAAAGCATAAGCCAAGGATATAATGCCATAATAGTTAACACGTTTCTCACAAACTTTCTCTGAGAAAGAGAGGAGGGTGTTAGTACTTTTAATTCCAAGCTTGTGGGAAATATTTCTATTGTGAATAGCATTGGTTATTAATTATATTCGATTTTCATACTTATAGCGTGGTATTTTAGAGGACTGTTTTCTCACTTTGTGGGTCATTGTACTACTCTGGAACCGGAGGGATCTCTGGAGACCTTCTGCCCTAACCCCTTTCTTTTATAGCTAGGGAAATCCAGAGATGGGGGGTGATTTGCTCAAGGTCACACAGCAATTTAGCGGCAGGGCCAAGCCTAGAACTAAGGACACCAAGGGCCAGGGGCTGTTTCCGCTCCCTCCTGCTACCTGTCATTTTGTTGGTGTACCACCTTGCCTCTTGTTAAGCAGTAAGAGATGCTGCAACCTTCCCCAAAGAACCTCTTTCCCGCTATCTCCAAGAATATTAGAGCTTGGCCTGTGTCATCTTCAGTACACAGGGTGGGGCTCAGGGAGGTGAGAATGGAATGAACTGCCCTGGGCCTCTGAGCCAGACCTGGTCTTGCCTGCTGCAGCTGCTAGAGGTGGTCAGGGGCTGGGGAGGAGGGAGACAAGGAAGGGGGAGCAGAGGGCACAGTTGGTAGGTAAAGGCATCTCCTACCAGTTGTCCCCACAGCTGTCCCTGCCTTCAGCCCTGACACTGAGCTACTGAATCACTGGGGGGTGGGACTGGGAGTGGGGACAATGGGCACGTCCCATGCAAGAGTAAGTCTCAGATTCCTGGAGGCCAGGGATGTGCCGGGCTGGGGCGGGGTGGGGGGGTGGGGGGCATCAATTGTGGGAAGGCAATCAGGGGCCCTGGCAGGAATTACTGTCTGTCTTGTTTCTCTTGGGCTCCTTAAGTACTTACTGCTCAGCCCCCAGGGTTAGCTGTACCTTCTTCTTTCCGTTTGAATAAGAATGTGGACTTCAGGGTGTGGGGTGGGGGAAGAGATGACACCAGGAGCTCCCTCAGGTGAGGACTGGGGCCCAGGTACCCTCGAAGGCCTCCATCCCTGTTATCCTTATGTATCTGCCAAAGGGCACAGCCTCCTTGCAGATCCAGGTAGACAATTCCCATGACAGGTCCCAAGACAGTCTCAAGACAGGAATCACCAGCCTCCCTGAGCTCTGTCTCATGATCCATGGCCTGGCAGGGTCCTGGGTCTTTCCAGGTATGGGATGTGGCAAAGGCTATTGATCAAGTGTTAACAGGCCCTGCAGGACAGCAGAACATTAAGACAACACTGGTCCCAGAGCAGAATCTCCAGACTGCAGGAGTGCGCCTCAGTCGTCCCAACCCGCCTTCCAGATCCTCCAGCCTGTCCCCTAAGCTAGAGAAGGTTTAATGGTACGAGCACATAACTAAGAATCAGAAGGCCTGTGCTCAAGTCCTGACCTGTCACTCCCCTGCTGTGTGACAAGGCACAAGCCTCTACACCTCTCTGGCTTTTGCTTTTCTTATCCTGATGAGAGCTTGGATGAACCTGGGCCTGGCAGGTCCCTGCCTGTCCCAACCAGGGCCGCAAAAGGTGGGCAATTCAGGAAGTCGTTGAGCACCCAGGCCTTGTCTGTGGAGGAAGAGACGCTTCTGCTTTGTGGAGCTGGGATCTCCCCACTTCTGACTCAGCCTTCCTCCACCAGTTTCGCATGGGAAGACACAGACCCTGGCACCATCCCGCAGCCCAAGCCCATAACTCTAGACTCAACTCTAGAACTACTTGTGCATACTGCCTGTCAGGAGTCCCGGTTCCAGACCACGACCAGAACAACCTTAGGAAGGAGGTAGAAAAGGATCCCAGGATGCAGTGGGGAGCGGGGAGCAGAAGATGCAGACATTCAGGCCCCCATCCCTCCCTTTAAGACATCTGCTGTCTCCACCCTGTCTCTTGCTGTCTCTTGTAAAGCCACCAGGGTGGGAGAGAGGGGGGCAGCATCTGAGTCATCCACCCAGCTGTCCTGCTTGGGGCGGGGCCTAGTTCCAAGCCTGGACCCCAGGCAGGCCTTCCCTGATGCTTTCAACCTCCTCATTCTTCCCGCACTTAGGTGTCCAAATCCCTGGGGCTCCAGAATTGAGAGGATGTGTGTATGTGTTTGTGGGTGGGGGTAGTGTTTCTGCTTGCAGCCTGTAACCCAGCCTGATGAGAGGGTGCCCCAAACCCCTGGGTGTGGTCAAGGTACCCAGGCTGGGCCAGGAATCCCCACAAGATCTTACAGACAGCTCTGCATCCCAACCCAAAGCCTGGCCCTGAACTCTGAGCTCTAACTAAACATTAAACCAGGCAACACCTTCTCCCTAGGCTTTAGTGGGAGGAGTTAGGACAATGCCTTTCTTCCTCTCGCAAATTCTTCCTTCTACTCCGCACCTCACCCTGAGCACAGCAGACGCAAAAGGGAGCAACAAATCCTTGCTCCTCCCACTGGGGACACAGAACAGGACAGAAACCCCAACCTGAGCCCTCTTCGACTCCACGCTGCCTCCCATCAGCCTAGGATCCAGGTGTGCAAACCCGCCCCCCCCTTTTCCGGAAGTCCAGCCTCCCCAGCCAGGATGAGTGGGGCAGAGGAGAGGCAGGTGGCTAAATATAACAAGTACACACACCACCCCCGGCCCTGCCCCACATGCGTGCACACCCGCCTGGTGTCCTAGGCCCGACAGCTGCACCAGGAGGCAGAGGAGACAGACTGGCGTGGCTGGGTTAGCGAGAGACCATAGACTTCACTTGTTCTGTTCCCTGATCAATGCCTTCCCCAGAAAAAGATCTGCTAACAATGCCCTTCACAGGGATCTGCAAGGTAGCAGTTTGGTAGTTGCGTGGACTAGTTTAGAACACTAATTCTCTGGGACTCCCCTTAGCTTGCCTCCTGTCTGTCCTGCTAACTAAGTTACTCCTATCACTAGTGGACAATGACAGGAGTGATCCCTTTCAACAGAAATAAAGTCACCCTGAGTTCCCTGGTGGCCTAGTGGTTAGGATTCTGGGCTTTCACTGCCATGGCCCGGGTTCGATCCCTGGTCTGCCTGGAGAACTGAGATCCCCACAAGCCACAGCCAGAGTGCAGGGCAGCAGGCAAGTCACCCTGCCTCTCCACACAATTTCAATTTCCATCTAATCTTCACAAGGGGATGATGGATCTGCCACACTCACCATGCCTGGGGCTAGGGGCTCACGAAGGGGTATAAAGAGCACAGAATACACAGAGGTTCTGAGAAGAGCATGAGTCTGGAGAAGATGATGCCAAGGGAAAGAAGGAAAGTCAAACCATACCCCATCCCAACCAGGGATCTCCAAGCACCTTTAGTGCTCTTTGGCTGAGGCCTTCATAGAAAACAAATTCTTGGGGAGCTGAAGAGGGCCTAAACTTCCCAGCTCCAAAGGCCTTTTTAGAAAAGAGGGAGGAGCCAAGTAGGGTGCGGTAGAGTGGGGCAGGGATGGGTAAGGTAGGAGTGGCCTGAAGCTTCCAACGGCTGGATTTCAAAAATGTCACTATATTCTGGTAGTTGAACAAGGCAAAGAACAACAACAACAACAAAAAGTCAGCGGCTGAGAGGACTGGGCCAGAGCAAAGGCTGCTCAGCTTGGCTGGGAAAATGAAAGCGGCTCACCCCAAGGAGGGAGGCAGGGAGCGACAAGCCCCCAACCCTCCAAGACTCCAGGCAGAGGGTGAGGGTGGGATGGGGGAAGGTGGGGAAGCGGGGAGGCAGACCTGGGCATAGCACAACTTCCTGAGCTGGGAGCCTCTGCCCTCTGTCTCCCTCCCTCCCTTGCATTCCTGGGCCAAGCAGGCCAAGGGCTGTGAGAGCTGTGGGGAAGCCGCTCTCCTGGAGCTCTTTGGAGGGCCTGTCAAGAGTCCAGGGAAGGTCTCAGACAGGTAGGGAGTGAAGGAGAGCTTCCCAACTCTTAAGAGAGAACCCGGGTAAGGGTCGTGCTGAGGGGGCCATCACCATGCCCCTGCAGGGGAAAAAGGGGGTCACCCTGCTTTGGTGACCTCTCTCCAGCACCACTGGACATCTGCCAGCTTGGGAGCTCTGTCTTAGTGGGTGTCGTGTGTTCATAGCTAGGCTGGGCAAAGTTGGCACAGTGCCAAGCCTGCCAAGAAAGTTCTAACAGGAGCCTTTCACCCACTCCAAAGTGTCCTGGGTGCCCAGATTTCTTAGACCTGGCAGGGCCAGTTCCGCTTTGCCCAAGACTCTCCCCCAGGCCCCAAATGACTGTCAAATCCCACCCTGACAGAATGTGGACCTGCCACCAGCCCCTACTTGGCCCTGCTGCCCGCGCCGTTCCCTTATATATTCCACCCTCTCCCAGAGACCCCTCCCTTCTCTGTCCTGTCTTGACAATTTCCCTTGGCACTGCCAGTCACCCGCTGGGGGCGGTTCCGGTGAGGGAGGAGACTATAACGCTAAGTTATCAGCCGTCTGGAGCTCGGCAAGGGCGACAGTCCGCTCGCCCTCTCTGCGCCTCTCCCGGCCCCACGCCGCCACCTGGGCGCACTCACCGTGCCTTGAGCTCCTTGAACTCCTCGCGCACTTTGCTCAGCTCCAGCTGCAGGCGGGCGCGCTCCTTGGCCACCGAGTCGAGGGTTTTGCGGGCATCCCCGAGCTCTGCCTCGTAGGCGGCCTTGATGCCGGACACCTCGCGGCTGACCACTTCCTCGGACTCGGTGATGCGAAGGCGCAGACCTGCGTTCTCCGTCTCCAGCGAGCGCACACGGTCTATGTAGACCGCCAAGCGGTCATTGAGCTCCTGCAGGTCCTCCTTCTCCTGCAGCCGGGTGATGCGGGTGGGCGACAGCGGGGTGGAGCTGCCCTGCGCCCCACCGCGGGTGGCGCGCCGCTGGGACGGGGTCTCCATGGCCGGCAGGGTGGCAACGCTGCCCGCGGGGCAGAGGTCCCGGTAAGGGCAAGAGGCTCGGGCCGAAGGACAGAGACTGCTCGGGGTGGGAGCTCGCCGGCCGGCTGGCTGGCTCTCGTCTGGCTCCTGGCAGGCGTGGGGATCTGGGCCGGGCGCTGTCGGACCTCGGGATCTGGGTTGGCCGGTATGGATGCGGCGCTCCCGCGAACACTCTGAGTCACCGGCGCCGGAGCAAAGGCTCTAATAGGTCTAGGGAATTGGAGGAGGGGCCACTGCTCTTAAAGGGGCCGTCGCATACCCACGGGAGGTGGGGGGGGGCGGGAGGGCTGAGGGGGGGAGAGGACCACCCGGCAGTGGTGGCGGAGGAGGGCTCCACCCTCTCTCGCGCCCCCCCCCGCGT